TGGGTTGGCGAGGGCTCTATCTTAGGATCTTCTCCCAAACATTCCGGATCATTCGGTCCTCACGCCCCGTCGATGTTTCCGATGACAAAGTCGTACAGTGGGGTCGTCATGCATAAAGCAGTAACCTTCCCGCTGAAGTACGGGGTTTCAACCTCAATTTCTGTTTCGGGAAGCATCCGAACCGTACGGTCAATTAGGCAAACCGGTTTCGTTTTGCCTGTTAACTCACTTTCCCGTACTAAATTTCTCCGCACGATAACAGTGGAACTGCCGGTATCTCTTAACACCGTAACTTTTTTGCCCGCAACTTTTCCAGGCAGCGTTGGCATTCCCTTCGTGACACCGGTTGGCTGTTTTGACACTACAGCACCCACAATAGGAATTTTCTCCCCATTTTTCAACTCTACGAATCCATCAGTGACGGCATTATTATTAGATTTCGGTGCCGCTTGCACACAGGATACCTGGTGAGTTTGACTCACTTCGTTCCGACAAGCATCTGCTTTGTGCCCAGTTTGACCACACTTAAAACATTTTACTACCGTATGGCTCGTAAAGTTAGTACGACAGTTGCTCGCGCGATGACCCTCTCGGTTACACAGGAAACATCGCGGAACACTCTCCGGTGCACGCTTCTTTTGTTCAGGTGCCGAGTTTTTCGAATCTTCAGGACACTCCTTCTTGACTTTGGCCAAATTAGTTCCACCTTGCGCTTCCAAGAATTGATCAGCCAATTCAAGCATGTCTTCAAGTGACTTAGCTCTCCTCTCTTTTAAGTACAGCGACAGGCTTGGGTGGCAACTAGTAAGAAACTGTTCTCTAATTAGGAGCTCTCTAAGTTCATCGTACTCCTGCGCTGTTCCTGAAAGTTCAATCCATCTGTCGAAATAATGGCTAAGTCGGGCGGCATACTGCGTAGCCGTCTCCCCATCAGCTGGCTTTCCTGTCCGAAATCTGTCCCGGAATCCTTCCACAGTAAATCTAAATCGCTTCAGCAAAGCAGCTTTCACCTTGGCATAGTTGGCTGCATCGGTCGGCGTCAGCCTACCGTACACACTGAGCGCTTCACCACTCAAGCAAGTACTCAAAGCAGTTGCCCATTGATGTTCCGGCCAATTCTGGCTGCTTGCAATCGTCTCGAATCTGTGAAGGTACACGTCAAGGTCGTCCTTCCTTTCATCAAATGCTACGAGCAACTTGCTTGGGTTCAAGCAGAAGCCATGATCCTCTCGTTCGCTGCTTTCAACTCTAGCTTGGACCGGAGTTTCACTTCGCTGTTGCAAACGGAGGCGCTCGAGTTCCATTTCGTGCTGCCGCTGCCGTTCCCTTTCAGCCATCTCCGCTTCTCTTTCTTCTTTCGCCCTCTCAGCTGCCCGTCTTTCTCTCTCCATCTCCAACTTCAATTGTTGCTCTCTTTCTTCTTTCAGCTGTCGCTCCTTTGCCTCTCTTTCTTCTCTCTCCCTTTCGGCTGCCAACTTTTCTCTCTCCAGCTCCAACTTCAATTGCTGCTCTCTTTCTTCTTTCACCCTTTCAGCTGCCAGCCTTTCTTTCTCCATCTCCAACTTCAATTGTTGCTCTCTTTCTTCCTTCAGCTGTCGCTCCTTTGCCTCTCTTTCTTCTCTCGCCCTTTCGGCTGCCAACTTCTCTCTCTCCAACTCAGCTGCTTTTTCTTCCTTGGCTCTCTCAGCTGCCAACCTCTCTCGTTCCAACTCAGCTGCCTTTTCTTCCTTGGCCCTCTCAGCTGCCAACCTCTCTCGTTCCAACTCAGCTGCTTTTTCTTCCTTGGCCCTCTCTTTTTCTTCTTTTTCCTTCTGGGTGACCCACTTCCGTAGTTCGGCACCAGAAAGACCCATCTTCTCACCAAGAGCGACTAACTTTTCGAGATCCATGGTGCCTCGCAACTCGCAAATAAAACCTTGCCGCGTGCAAAAAGTATCTGCCTAAATCAGTCTATCGGAACACTCCCCTGCACTCGTTAACGAGAACACTGAACAACCCACAAAATCGTTCCGATAGCACTATCAACAACTCGAGGCTCTTTCTCACTACTTTGGACACACTGTGCACCAAAAGGTCCTCGTCGCGGACGCCAGATTAATTGTCACACAGGTCCCGTTAATTAGGGAGGCGATCGCCGGGCTAATTCCAAGGGCCGAAGTATCGGCCCCCCGAACCGCACCACGAAAGCGTGGACAATTTAGAAGTGGTCCTTTTTGGCGCGCCAGCGGACGCCGGCTGTGGCCCAAAGAACAAGTCAGAGCCGAGAGTTGATAAACCAACAAAATTATATTCTCAATAATGGCAGATCAGAAAAACAATACACAAATATGCTCACTCCACAATAGCTGAGTACAATATGTCACCGATCAAACAACGTACTACACAGTACAATTAGCCACACTTGAACAACGGACACAGACAACAGTACACACTACAATGCAGTCGCATGCATTCAACAACCAAGACACTTAAAGACTAAAGAGATAGAAAACCTATTCAGTCCAAAGTCCTTGGAACAAAAGTCTGAATGATACTCTTCCGAGAATCACTCACTCAAAGTCCAGCGTTGTTGCCGTTCCGCTGCCCCGAAGTTTCTCTTCCAGGAAACCTCGCGTCTTCAATTGGCCACTCTCCAAGCTTCAAACTTCTTCGCCGGAAACACGTCGGCTTCACACACGCAGCTGTTGCCACGCGTCTTCGCTCGATTGCGGTAAACTCACGCTCTTGCCTGTAGCTCGAGCCTTCACCCCTCAGGTGGAAATCCTCTTCTTCTCCTGCTTTGTCGCTACGGACAAAACCTTCGCCGACTACACGGCGGAATCCCTACGCGCTCTGGCGCTAACTTCTGTCTTCTCCTGATCTCTCGTCTCGGCTGCTCGGTTAAATACCTTCCGCGCGACATTCCAGAAAGTTCTCGTCATTTCGTCGGCGCGATACGCAGCGAAGGCTGGGGAGAGGCGCGAGACTGTACGGGGGCCGTCCCCGACAGATGACTCAACCCGGCAAAACATGCTGCTTTCCTTCTAGAAATTTCCAGTGCTTGCCCGGCCGCCGTTGTGGGGTGAGAAGGTTCGTCGGCGAAGCCACGCTTCCGAGGGGAGAGCGTCGCGCGCCCGGGGAGCCTTTGATGCTTGTTTTCTCTTTTCTTTTTTTTTTTTTTTTCGTTGACCTCGCCGCGTCTCTCCCGCGCGTTATCGCAAGAAGTTGGCGGCGCGCCCATATTGAGCGCTCGTTCTGTGACATGAATATATGTACGATGTCTTTTTTTGCACGACATTTTATTTTATTAGCATTATTCTACAGTAGACTCCCCTTGAACGAAACTGTTTGAAATGAAATTGCTGCTTAAGTGGAACAACTGTCACAAATATTTTTGGTTTCCTACTTGAATAGTGTACCCCCGTTTATCTATCAGTAAACGAAACTGCTCTTAAAGGAAACACGTTTTCCTGGTCCCTTCAGGTTTCGTTTTAAAAGAGTCTACTGTATTTGCATTTATGTGTGTGTGCATTTTTTTATTTTATTCTTGTTTGTTTTCTTGTTGTACAGATCTAACTCTACTATATATAATGCTTCAGTTTAATGTCTATATAAGCAATCCTACCTGGGCCTCTAAATTGGCCTGCAGTATTCCATAAATAAAAAAATAAATAACTGGCCATAATATGTAAGTGACTCGCTGCTAAAACGCTCAGTTACGTGTTGAAAATGGCAGCGCTGCTGCACCAGTCAACAGCACAAAGGCAGGACATCGCCGTAGTATGTTTATTTCAGTTTTACTTGACAGTGGCAGTACGAGCAGTCTGATGGACACCAGTTGTGTGTGGTTTTGTCGGAACAGGAAGCAGGTCACACTTGTTGGGAATATTGATCATTGGGAGTCACTGCCTGGTGGCTGTGCACAGTTGGCTGCAGGGCATTTATCTTTCACTATTGATAAACCCTGCAAATGGTACTCAAGCGAGAAGCTACTAATTAGTGCCGCATACACATTACCGTATTCACTTGCATAATAAACGCACCCTCAACTTCAGTCGTCAAATTTTTTTTATTTATTTTTTCACCCACGTAATAAACACAGTCGCTACTTTCATCCGCCGCAGTCTCAAGAACCAGCACCTGGCACCTCCTTGTCAGTTGGATCTCTTTCGTTTTTTATTATTATGCCGACCCCCCTAAGCCACAATGGCTCACTCCCTCCCTTCTACTGCCTGCTTCTACACACCGTATTGTTTTTCTTTCTATCTGTGTGCGGCACGTCCCCTGTCTTCTTTAATTATCCCTGCGCCACAGCGGGGTTCACGAATAGTGTGAGCATAGAGACATCGCAGCTGACAAGCCCACAGCAAGCGGAGGTCACAGAACTGTTTCTGCCAACCAACGGTTGCTCTCTGCAAATACAAAATCTTTAAGGTCCAATCACAGGTATCCGATTTTCTAGTGATGAGGAAAGAATTTACTGTTGCCATGGCTGTCTCAAAGGGCCATTTGTCACTATGACTGTTGCACGTTTCTGGAAAACAAAAAAAAAACATTTGCTGCCCAGAAAAGATCGTGACAATTACCACAAGCACGGTAGCACCCTCGATTCTCGCTTCGGTTGTATTTTTGCTCTTCATGCTTGTTATCCACGCATACTCCAAGGCTACCTTTTTTACAGTAACTTCTCATGAGGACAGCGAGGCGGCGGCCGTATCGACGGTTCATTTTGATGCTTTGGTGGTAGCTTACTGCAATGTCGGCTACGTAGATGCATTAGAAATTAGCAATGTATAGTTCTATATGCAGAAAGTGCTTCGATAGGCCACCTTAATCATTACAGCATCTATGTACAGTTTTCTGTTTCTACACACTTTCAAAACTGCTATTAAAGCTTTCGAAGTCACTTTCTTGCACTGTTGCTTGTAGTGCACTTTGATTTCCAGATTTTAAAAATTATTTGCTCTACCTATACAAGACACCTTTTCTAACATAGCATGGTCATGGATTGTTCATTTCAGAAGCAACGTGCCCGATGTGCTCTGTCCATGTTTCACCTGTGGGGAGAGCTTCATCTTGTTCTCTGCCTATATCGGAGAAGTTATGGCGAAGCATACACAGCTCCCGAGCTGACAGCACCGCTGGAGGCCACGGACCTTTCTTTCCTCCATCCTTCCCTCACAGCTGACAAAGTGGAGTCCCTGTTGGTCATGATGCAAGCAGACCACACAAAGCTCATATGCCACCACCTCGTGAGTGATATGTTGTGGACCACTGGTTGTTTCTTGAGTTTTGTATTCAGTTACTATTTAGTATGCTAGTTAAAGTAATATTTCTGCGGGATGCTGATTCGTTGCACTCGAGCTCTGCAGCACTTTGCTGTCACATTTTTGCAGGATGGTCAGAGAGCGATGTGGTGGTCAAATTCCAAGTTTTGTCATTTATTATGCATACCTACTTTCCTTACTTTTGGAATAGTGGTACAGAAGCACTCTAGTTAGTACTGACAGTCTGGCTAATTTGTCTGACATATTTGATAATGAAACTAGCCTGAAAATTGAGATACACACAGAAACAGACAGCTCTGTCCTCACCCTTTTCCTCCCATGCTATTGTCTAGATTTTTGCTCACAGTAAATAGTCAATTCTGGCCAAGCTTACTTTTCTGGGGGATAAGATAGGCCTATATTAATTCACTCATTCATGTAGTATTATTGAACAACTGGTATATTCTCTTTCTTTCACCCCCATCCCCCTTTTTTCATTGTTTTTCATTTTCTCGCAGATGCTTCTCTGGATTCAAAAGATTAGGGCACTTGTCCTGTTCACGGAAGTTACAAACGAACATCTTGAAGCGAGTTTGCAAGCTACAGCCAAGTTGGTTTTCTCCCATGTTGACATGACTGTTAGCACTTCAGTGTGGTCACAGAGGGTGTGTATGTGTTTGCTCGGCGGTATTAGAGATGGAAATCTTGCTCAAAGGTTTTGCAGGAAGTAACTTGGTAGTGGATTCACCTTTTTTTTACATCCATCTTGACATGGCATGTCTTCCTTTACTGCCGAATGATTGCTATCTTCATCAGTGTCTCATGTTTTTCAGGTATGTGAAATTTCAGAAAGCCGTTTTCCTGTGGCTTCGTTGCACACACTGTTGATCAACTTCCCCCTGCTGTCCCCTTACTTGCCAGCTAAGGATGTCACAGCACTCTGCCAGTTCTTCTTGGAAGTGATGGCACATACGAAAGGAAAAGATGTGGTTGACAGGCAAGTCGCTGTTCTTTTATTTTAGTTTGCTCATGTGACAGGCAGTGTGTTACTGTGAAACGAACAAAATAGAGCACAAGGATAGGCCTTAAACTCTTCAGTGTCCTTGCGTAAACTTTGCATTTAAAGGATAATCCTCTTAAATTCTATATGATATCATCCGCAAGGGGCGCTAGCACGGCAGTCGCCGTACGTAGTATCGTGTGAACATCGTCTAACTACAACCAATCCACTTTATTTCATTTGTGTCTCTCCTACTTTTTACTGTGTATGACAAAGCTTGCGGAATCGAATCCATTGTATGATTTTACGTTCCATTGGTCAAGTAATAAATAATAATAACTCCTAATTGCATGCTGAGTGACATTGCAAACAATGTTTTGTTCACATGCTTGTCTTTATGCCATTAGTCTTAAGTTGCTCATTATGCTAGACCTCTGTATTATCCATCTGTGTTGTTTTAGATTTAGCCTGCGCTTTTGTTCATTGTTTGGAGGGGTGCCCATTTCCTGCAGCAAGAAGAATTCCATCAGTCAAACAAAAATTGTCACCACCTACCTTGGAAGCCAAGCATTTATTGAATGCAAGTTGGCCCAGACCTGCTATGTCACAGCTGTATGGAAATGTGTTTCTACGATGTTCAAGGCTAGAAAAAGGTAAGTGCTTGTTGACTTCAGTGTTGAATGTTTTCGTCACATATGAATGCAAGTTTTATACATGTGTTGCCATGGAAAACAAAAAAATAAGAAAGCTGACAACGCCAGCCTGTTGCAAATAAAGTATTGCCACACGCGTTTCTTATTTTCGCTCTTGCTTCTTTTAGTTTTTGCACACAAAGCCTGTCAGGAATACTCAGCACAAACTGCACCTCATTGTTCAAGAAGGTTTTATTATAGATCGTTCTGTTGAGATTGCCCACAAGACACGAACACTCGAGATTATTCGCGAGCTTGTCTGACGACCAGTAATAAGAATGAAATATTCGAAGGCACATGTAAAAATGTCTATGAACTTTGGCATTTGTAAGTTGATCGACGGCTAATGCTTTGTTCGCCGCTATTGGTGCCATTGTGTATCGGTGTAATGCTTTGTTCGCCGCTATTGGTGCCATTGTGTATCGCTGTAGTCTGACTTTTTATTGACCGGTCACAAGTTCAGCCCAAACAAACAGTTTCATCTTCGATTGACATTCTGCTCCCTTCGTCCACGTCACGATCCCTTGACAATATGTGTAAACAGTGCAACTCATATCCGTGCCATTCGTGAAAGGTCAATATCCTGATGCACAAGGGCATATTGATTTCGGTGTTTATAAATTTCAATAAGCCGACAGGGTGTCTTCATTTTCTAGTAGTTACCCATGTATGATGTGGTCAGCATTTTAGTAGCATTAGCTATTAAACGTATTGCTCAGCTCACAGCATCTCAGACAGTTGCTTTATGTGTGAGGGTGATCATTTGTGAAAAATATGCATGTTTTTATGGATCAGAGGAGCTATGCAGCTGTTTATGCTCAAGCTTAAATGCAACATTCTCCTCTCAAAAAAGGTTAGGGTGTGCCGCAGTAATTGTTAGCAATGGATGACTACCATCGTCATTGAACTGGTTTTACATGCATAAAATCTCTCTGTGGCAGTATATGTGGCAGTAAGCATGTTGCTTAAAAAGAGATGCATGTGGCAAATACTTTTCAGTGCCTGTCTGGCAAACGTGGCCATGGCTATGTCCAGTATACAATGTCTCAATTCTAAGAAAATCAAAAGGTTTAGTGACTTGGGAGTCTTTGCATTTGGTATAAGCTCATGATTTATAAGACACATTATAGCTGAGGTAACAAATCCGTTTTAACCACTTTAGGTTCCTGAGTCTGCACCCAAAACATGTTACACATGCAGCTTTGTCTTCAAAATGGTGCCTTCATAGTATTGTGTGTTGTAAGTGCTTAGCAACCCAACATCACCAGAATCAGAATCATTTATTTTGGCATCAGACTCCGAAAAAATGCAGATGTTGAGGGCCATGAGCTGAAAGCCACAAAATGGCTTGACGAGGCCCACGGTCCCTTGAACTTGACGCTAACAGAAAACAACATGGAGCAGCAATCGTAGACTTGACTTTGTCCTTTGACCTGAAGTTATTTTGACATATTGAATACTATAATGCAACTGTACATAAAAAAGGCATGTTAACCTACAGTGTAACATTTTTTAATAGTGTATTGTAGCCATAATACGCACAGAAATAACGGCAAACATGCATCTATATACATACACAGACACATGCTTATGTAAATGCATATGTGTACACATATGCAGTGCCGATAACAACACCCACCTTTTCCCTAAAGTGGACTGCTTGCAAGTTTCTACCTCCAAGGCAGGCTATGTACAATTTAGTTTGTACTGTTCAATGGTATGGCAATAAGTAGCATAACATCTGTTTGCCATAGTTAGTTCGTGTGCGTTGAAGTTCCCATTTTCCAGTGAGATGAGTCATGCGCAGTTTTTTATTTTCTCTTGGACAAGAAAGGTTGCGTAAAAAGTTGTTCTTTTTGACGACACCAGTGTAACAGTACTGAGATAGCCTCTTTTCACGTAGTGGTGGAAGCAGAATTAAGTTCAGCTCAACAAATAATTATCACAGCCGCTTAACCACCACAGCTGGTAAACTTTTGCAGCTTGTAATTAGTGTGTACTAGTACAAAGCAATAAATCTCTTGGGTACCACGTTTAATGTCACTGCACTTGACATTTTTACAGGAAGCTTGACTCTGAAGAAGAGCCCAGAGGTCTGTGTCGGGCACTTGTGGACGTCCTTTCGGGACCTGTGAAGTGGGAAAAGTATGCAGAGACTGTTCCACAGGCCGACTACAGCTCGAAACAGCTACTGCCTTCGGAAGGCCTCAACAAGATGTGGGAAGCCATTCATGCTGCCTCTGAAAAGCTGGCAGCCATCATTGCCACGAGCTCGGAGACCTTCAGTGAGAGAATCACTGTGGCAGACGTCTCGTTTTTACTGGAGGTAAGCACAGCAGGCGGCTTGTACTATTGTTTCAGAGCAATAAGCCAAGATTAGCTAGGATTGTTGAATTTTTAGCTCATTTCTAACTCTTCGTGTTTCTATTACTGTCCTTCTTCATCATTGAGTCCAACATATTCGACTTCAAATTGATTGTACAGTGGTACGTACAGGAAACTGCATTCAGTGTAATCATGCTAACAAATTTATAAATGCTTTATTATAACTTTTTTGCCTATGGGAAATGTAGTAGTTTTCATATGATCTAGTACTTCTTTTCTGTCACAGAACATGCCTGACAGTGCTATAGTGCATGGTATCAAATTCTTCTGCAAGAAATCTTATCTCCTACAGTACACAGTACCAAAACACATGTTTCTTCAAAAATATTTTTTTGAGAGCTACCCAAGAGCTCTGTTGGTTGGTTGGTTGGTTGCGAAACTTTATTGTTTTTGCGAAACTTTATTGTAAGAGCTCTGTAATGAAAAATAAAAACCAGCATTAAAAGGTTAGTGTTGCATTGCACAGAAAATAATGTCGACTAAGTTCAATGTAGAGACTTTTGGGGCAAGGGATACTGGCAGCAAAGTTAAATTTTCGTATGTCAAGATTGTATTCAAGCATATACAAAAGCTTCGCCCCAATAACTTTGGCCCAGTGCCCCGCCAATGGCTACCAGACATCCTCTAGCTCAAAACTATACTCTGAGCAGCTACATGGAAGTGATTCCGCCTGGAGGCTGTTGAAAACCAGTATGCAAGAGCCACTGTAACCACAAAAGCAAGCGTGAATGAAGGTTTTTTTTTCTGTATAAGCAAAAAATAAGATTCCATACTGGTGTCTGACAAACAGTAGTTTTTTTTTTTCATGACTGTGCTACTGCCATTCTCTGAATGCAGTAGAATATCTATGATACGATTGCGGTTGATGCGAATTTGTGATTATACGAATTTTAAGTTTGCTTCGGATGGACTACATTATATAAAATACACCGTGATTCGGTGTTATACGAACGGTTTCTCCAGCAACCACGGGTGATACGAATGCGCGATTGACGACTGCACGCGAGCGGCGCAACACAGCTTGTGTGTAGGAGGAAGGCTCTTTTACACTTGGCTTCGAAGAAAGCAAATGCAACAAAATGCACTGGAATTTCTCTCGCTTTGCCACCAAAAAAATGGCCGGAAAACCACGCCGCGAGGCCAATGCAAAAGAATTTATCCGAGACCAATTTCGTCACCACGCGATAGCGGATCGCCTTTTTGCTACCACTTTGGCTGCACCGATTGTGCTAGCTCTTGAACCACATGATTTAAACCAATTTAAACAACCAGTTGTACATTAAACATAGGGGGCAAAGGCGTCGGCGGCGGCTCGCATCGGCGCAATTGCGAACTACCCGCTCAGCGGGACAAAGCTCACGGCCTTAAAAAAGATGCGTTTATCGAGAGCCTGGTTTGAATTGAGAATGCTGCGAACACTGCAAGTAGAAGAAGGTGCAGGAGCAGCTAGTCGGCATGCCCTAATGTGTCCTCGCTCTTGCACTGCTGGCTGAACCCGTCGCCGCTGCTGCGAGTGCGTCTGCTCATGTCGTTTCTTCTGACTTATATCCAGCAACAACATTTGTGAAGGTGTAAATTGTTTCTTTTCAGTGCTTTGCATGCATAACTAGAACTCTGTAGGGGTTCTAATGCTCAGGAATAAATTCTCACGTGACGAAGATGGTGACTGTGGCACGTATACGAGGGGCAGAACAAATGTGAACATTTCCGACGGGCACGGACGTGGTTTTGTGGCCGCTTTGGCGTTTTCACTTGAATTCTCAAGGGTTGATTCTCCAAGGCTGATTTTTTTTTCATGTTGACTTCACGAAGCGTTTTTCCAGCCGCCTAAGAGAGGACACCCCACTTAAAAAACTTTTTTGTCAAGGGTACATTTTGATCAAACTTGCATGCTTTATGTATTTTGACATGCTGATTTCAAATATGCAATTACTTTTTCTCTGCAACTAGTACTTTTCAAAATATAGAGAAATTCGTGTTTTTTAATTGGCTAATAGGGAGTTAAATTTTCTCTTTAATGTTGGTTATCATCAAACACACCGACATATGAAAATGATTCTGTGTTTTCAGAGCTTGAAGTGGTACAAGAATGAATGTTCTAGAGTGGTTTGAGCCAAAGTTACAGCATGTCAAACATTTGCAAGCAAAATGCTTCAGTAACACCTTGGAGCAATTATTACTTCTGGAAAACATGTCTCACGTTATTTGTTCAAATTTTAGGCCTACTGCAGTCCTCATTTGTCCCCTTTTCTAAAAAAACAAGAATCAATGCGATAGGATAAGTATGACTAGAGATATCGTCACTCCAAAACTACATGATGATCAAAAACGCAGTTTTGAGAAAATGACTAAGAACATTTTCAGACAAATTAGAAATGATTATGAAATTACTTTAACATTACAGTGCCCTCGTTTCGTCTGCTGTTTTTGCTCCCGATACTTATTCAGTGTTCTTCGATGTAATTTTCTTAAGTGTTTTCATTATTATTGTACTAATGAATATGTACTCGAATAATGTTGGTGAACGTACTTGACTTGATGCTGTGATTCGATTTACTCGCTGTTTCCTTTTTATTGTTACTTTTTGGTATTCTGTTTTCCGTTCATGTGGCTTGAAATGTATGTATTCACTTAAATCCCCCCCTACGTAATGCCCAATTGGGCCTTTAGGGTATTGAAATAAATAAAAAAATAAAGGATGGTACACGGGTTCAATCAGGCAAGATTTTGAATAAGTTTTGCCACTTTTGCTCCCTTTGCCAAGTGTGAATGCATCTGATAGCACCAACAGCATGAGTTAGAAAACTGCAGCACCTTATTGAAAGGGGCTGAAAGGAGAAAAGTTGAACAGAACATCATGGACTTTTTTTTCAACAAGAAGTAGTTGACCCCAATAAAGTTCCTGTTCATCTTCATGATCAGCCTTAATTTGTTTGTGGTTCATATGAATTTGGGCTGATACAAATATTTTGCGTGCTCGCTTCAAATTCGTATCATCGAAATTCTACTGTACTCCCATGCTGGTGCATCGAAGCCACATTTAAAAACGCTGTTTCCATCAACGAGTGGCACAGAAGGTCAGTTTTAGTTTGAGGACCATAGGCACTCATAACCCTGATGATTCCTCGACTTTGTTGGTGCTTATATGTTTATTTCACGGTAGAAATGAGCATAAATTTAAACTTGCAAGCTTTCCCATAAACCATTAGATGCATGCAGCTTGCCGAGAGTGTGCGAACAGTGGCAGAATACAAATTTGCAACAGACATTAGCAGGGTGTATCAATAAGAATACACAAGAACAGAAATGTGTTAATGCAGCTTTTCCACGAAGCGAGATAAGTACACATCTTGAAAAATCAAGTGGTCATCCTCCAAGTCCGGACAAGCAAAGAAAATGGTTCAGTAGTTGGACACAATGCGGAGTTTCTGAATATCACTTCCACTTATGTTGCCTGCATTATCCTATTAAAAATTCATCATAATTTGTGTGCATCAAAGGCACGTTGGGTATGCTTTCAAGCATTGCTGCATTCTCGCTACCTTATCTCTTCAGGCCTTGGACCGCCTCCCCTTGGGCAGCCTGTTTCCGGGAAACCAGTTGCGGTGTATGCTTGGCCTTCTGGCAGTCACCTTTCTGCTTGAGGGCACAGTGGAGAAGAAAAGCGGCCCCCTCTGGGAGAAGAGACTAGCGGTTGTGAAAAGTGCTGTGGGAACCTTCTCTGCACTGTTGCAGAGCCCCAGGAGGTCCTGGCTTCTTGACTTCGTCAGCGGTGGAGCCTTGATAAGCCGGCTAGTTGCAGTCTTCCAAGGCAACCTCTGTCAGGCAAGCAGTCTTCACAGTGCCTGCTTTAGGACAAAGATAAGCACCAGCAAACTTCAGTTATCCCTGCCTTATTTCGGGTTACTCATTCTCCTGTCTGTAAATTTTCTGATACCAACGGCACCACCTAACTGTCTGCTGCTCTTAATTGCACTTAAGTTCTCTTGCCATTCCTTCTTTTTTACTCTGACAGGTCACTGTTTACCTGCCTGACTTGATCGACTAATTTTAGCACTTAGAGCAGGGGTCTCAAACAGATGGCTCGCAGACCGTTTGCCAAGTCCTGACGCAGTTGAAAAATAGTGCGAATGAATCGTTCATGTGTTGCAGTGGAGAAGACTAACGGTGAAGCTTCCCGCGGGACACAATACTCTCATTTTCTGGAGGCACTCAAGAAGGCAAGCTATGCCTTGAACCATATTCCTGATATCACTGACAGATGGAGGAAGGCTTGGAAGTATATGTCCTCGACTGCAATAGCAATGCAGGACTGGGACATCTGTGTGCCCCAGATGTCCGACAAACTTGCCCATCTCCTTTTCAGTCACCAACCTCCAGAATCCATCCCTCAGTGTTGTTGGCTTTTTGGTGCTTATATGTTTGATGCATCCACGCATACTTAGGTATTTTTGTGGTTGCATATCTCTCTGAGGACTTCATCTATGAAAACAACATGAACAAGCTATCGTGCGGCACTCTGGAGTGCTAGGTCAAGGTCCACTGCGGGTCGTTGTAGTGAAGCAAACTGTTCTCTCTCCCTCATCTTTTTTTTGCATGTGTGTGGCCAGCACCAAGTGCTCGCACAGGAACTAAGTTGTTGCCTTGCAAATGAGAGCTGTTACCACGAGTACGCACCGCATTTATTTGCATCAATGCACAGCAGCGAAACAGCCCGAGTAGAGAGTGAAATTGAATGACAATGCCTGCTGATGTGCTGGCCCAGTTATATGCTATTTCCCCATCTATACTGAAGTGTCTGACAAATTGGAGTCGTCTTCTGCATTATTAGTGCTACCATCATCAAGAGATTGCGGCTCACATTCATCAGAATTTGTCCACATCCACCATTCCCATGGAGCACCCTTGAGCGACGTCAACGCCAAGACTGTAAACACAAGCACTCACCTCCCCGACTATGGAAGAGCCTTGAAAATCCTCCTGCTGCAGTAAAAGAAAACTCAAAAGTGAAACTGATTAAATACTTCTTTTTTTACTCTTCGGATGGCATAGTGGTTCACAAATGCTCCAAGTGCACCAAAACTTCAACTTCAGAAGTTATAAAGACTTATGGGGTATACCATACCAGAACTGCAATATGATTATGATAGAAGTTTGAACTTGAAGTCATCAATAACATACTATCGATGAAGTAGACACAGTCATGAAAGTATTAATAAGCGTGTTCACGAGCTACGTGGGCCTGACTGGTCTGGCACATATTTTTTTCTCAAGGCACCCCATCCAGCCGCCATGTGTTCAAGCATAACCATGGAACAAAAACTCCATATTATAGAAACAGCATGCACAGTACAGTCACTTTGAAGATCGCTATTGATGTGTTTCTGTGTATTGATGTGTTTTTTTCGACCAGTCATTTTGGTGGCCTGTATATTCGACGTGTTTAGCGAGGCAATGTGAGGTCACGCGTTGTTTGCTGACGTCATGTTCGTGTTGTTTAACTCTTTTCTTGAAATCAGTGGTCTCACCGATTTACTGGTTGTCACAATTGTGGCAGCCTGAAGCATAAAAAAGACTGTTGAAATTTTCACTCAGCTCTTGTCCTTCATGTTGTCTAAAGCGTTCCTTAGCTTCCATGTTGTTACATTCACTATTTTGATGTCTGTTGCTCGTCCAGCTGCAGTGGTTTAATGGCTAAGGTACTCGGCTGCTGACCCACAGGTTGCAGGATCGAATCCCGGCTGCGGTGGCTCCACATCCGATGGAGGCGAAAATGCAGCTTGTGTGCTTACATTTCGTTGCATGTTAAAAAAATCCCAGGCATTCTAAATTTTTGGAGCCCTGCACTACGGCGTCTTTCATAATCATATGGTGGTTTTGGGACGTTAAACTTCACATATCAATCAATCAATTGATGTCTGTTGCTCCTACATACCGTACAGCACATCTGAGTTTCCAACCACAACATCACACACGTTGGTAGACTTGTGCATTTTGTCTTGACCATTATTTCAGCTCGTCTTGAAGGCCTTCTGGTTCGAATAGAACTGCCATCAGCAGAGGCTTCATGGCCTATGTGATGCCTTTTATTATTATTACTGTCATTAATAATTTTCGCGATTCAACAGCAAACATCCTCAGCTACGCACTTATTGCTGGTAGCTTGCATTTCAAGGGTATTGTTGAGTAACTTCATCTAAATTTCTCGTTTCAGTTTTTTGAGATAGCATTATTAAATCTGTGATTAGCTTTTAATGTTATGTCCATAGAAGAGTACACAAACAAAGGTAACCTGCCCGCGTCTGTGATAAATCTGTGAAATTGAGAGAGCTGTTGCGACCAGACAGATTTATTCTTGCCAACACATATTCAAACGTCATCGCTTTAACAACTACCCCTAGCTTTCATTGCAGACATATGAGGTGTTTGTCAAACTCTAAGGGTCAGAGCCCAAAGAAATAAAACATCAACATGCACATGCTCATCGTAGAAAAAAGAAAGAAAAGGAGAGGTAGAATATGCAATGCTGCTCCGTTCTTGCAACGTTGTTAGTTATTGTCAATGCATGGTGCACAGAATACATAAGTAGTATATAGTTACTATTTTTTTGCTGGAAAGTATGTATTAGAGGTGTAAAATTTAGGGGGCGATGTAAATCAATAGCTAACACAGCAATCCAGGTCGCATCATATCCAATCCAGTCAACATCGTAAATACTAGTAAAGTCAGTAAATAGAGGTTGATCTTATCCGATCTAATCCAATCTAATCCACTTCCTAAGTGACCAGGGCTACAACCATTATAGTGAACTAGAATATACTCCATTGGTGGAACTGGCCGGGCTCGGGCATGCTCCTTTTACATGGTTTCCACAAGATGGGGCCACTTCTACATTTCCTAGCAGCTTTGGCTGCATTGTTGCATCATCGTGGGCTCTTTCAAACTTTTAACTGCCGTAAATTTTAGCTTGTGTTAGCATTCTACCAAACAGCCAGCTTGCTGACTCTTTGGTTCGGAAATATCATTTTGGCCAGATATATACATATTTTTCATACGTATTTACTGCTCGTACTCAGCACATTCTGAGCACATGCAGTACATTTATTTGCTTAGTCTATAAGATTGCCTTATTTTTTTTACCACTCGTGGGTCTGTTTCCAGTGCACAGGGTTTTTCAAGCAAACGTAATGGTCATGGAGTTTGCTTTAAATCATTTGGGAAAACCTGGAAAAGTTTGGGAATTTCAAAAATCAAATTGATAGACACCCTGGTTTCATGTCTTTTAAATTCTAAGTGTTAAATAGCTTGGAAATTACACCCATATTTTCATTATTCGAATGCCTGACTGCAATTTATGCAATGTTTCATCATGTCTCAATATCTAATAGCTGTAAATAAAGTTAACTTAAAGTATAATTGTTCTTTATCATTAGATTGATTGGAGAGCATTACCTGAAGTGTCAACTGCACTGTGCTCTCGCGTTTCGCAGGCCCTGGAGGACGAGTCAATGCTGCAACTTTACGAGGGCATCCTGGAGGCACTAGTGCGCCAAGCATTGCGAAAGAAAAACACAGTCAGAATGTTGAGTTCTGTAGTGAAAGAGGTACGCTTTTCATCTGTACATATACTACCATGACATGCCTGCTGCGTTCAGCGGAATTACTTTCATGCTGAGTGTCAGACTCGTATCGCTTCATCTGTTAGATATACTAGGTATTGAATGTTTGATAATAATGTCATATTTGTCGTTGACAGGTCCACTTGTCTGAATCTGCGAGTTTCTAGGATTTTTTTTTTGAATTCACACTATAATGTTTCTTCTCTGATTTGTTTTTAAATGGATTTCAATGATTTTGCATGTTGTTAGATTTATGTGACACGTAAAGCAGCATCTTGACGGCCATTAGCTAACATTTATCCTTTTTTTGCAGATTAAAGAAGTGGTTTCATCTGCGAAGGGTCCTCTTTCAAAAGCACACACCAGTGCTGCGCTGGTTCTTTTCAAGGGATTGGTGCTGGTATGTTCTCTTTGCATCCTTCTTGTCACGTTCTTTTCGAAATACTAACTTCGAAAAATATTTGATTCACACTCACACTTCAATATTCGAATTCGCTTTGCATGAAAAATTTCACTATTCACACAGCTCTAACAAACATGCATGATAGCACGTGCGACCAAGACTGCGTCTCCACTTGGAGCACAACAGGTGCCACCATTGGTAGGGCGAATATGCAGCACAGGGAAGTTTATTACAGATTATGAAAATGGTCCTTTACAATTAATTACTGAAGTTCACATAAAAAATACTGTCACGCAGCAAAGGACGACGCAGTTGTCTATAAGGAAAACAAGTTTATTGGAGCAAACCTGTGCTCCCCTAACAACTGAAAGAATACACAGGCGGCGAAGCAGCGGCCGGCAAAACGACGGGCACGCTAGTGAGCGTCGGCGATCGAATGTCGCGGCATCGGCTGTGCGGGAATTTATATCTCTCGGCGCGAGGGTTTCTAGAATAGTCAAATTGCATCGAGAACGCCGTGATAGCGTTTGTTCGAAACGCCGTTCGTTCGGAACACTCGAAGCGCTGTTTGATAGCGTTTGTTCGAAACGCTGTGAAAACAGTGATAGCACAGGCCGGCGCAGCCAGGCCGAAAAAACAAAACACAAATAAACAAACCCAATGCATGGTTCGCGGCATTACCCCCCCTCTAAGAGTGCATCGACCCGATGCTAACGTAAGGGACAGTCCAAACAAATTAAAATAAAAGTTCGTCATCGTCCGTAGAAAGGTTTTAAGCGAACCACATGGACGACTTCGGGCCGCGTGCGTCGTCGTGTTGTACGGGAGTCACCATCGGGGATCACTTCGTACGTTAGTTCGCCAACACAGCGTAGAATCCGGTAGGGTCCGAAATAGCGTCGTAGAAGTTTCTCACTGAGTCCACGTCGTCAAATGGGAGTCCAAACCCACACACGATCTCCAGGATGGTACTCGGCGTCTCGGCGTCAGAGATTGTAGCGTCCGGCATCCACCAGTTGCTGGTTCGTTATACGAACTCGAGCGAGCTGGCGGGCCTCCTCCGCACGTTGGAGGTATCCTTGGACGTCGGCGTTGAGGTCGTCGTCTTCTACCTGCGGAAGCATGGCGTCGAGCATCGTAGTCGGCCGTCTTCCGTAGACGAGCTCGAACGGTGTCATCTGCGTGGTTTCTTGGATAGCCGTGTTGTACGCAAACGTGACGTACGGGAGGACTTCGTCCCACGTCTTATGTTCAACGTCGACGTACATAGACAGCACATCCGCAATTGTCTTATTCAGCCGTTCCATTAGTCCGTTCGTTTGGGGGTGGTACGCCGTCGTTCTTCGGTGATCTGTGTTGCTGTAGCGTAAGATTCCTTGCATGAGCTCCGCAGTGAAGGTCGTTCCGCGGTCCGTGATTAGGACCTCAGGGGCTCCATGTCGCAGCACAATTTGGTTAATAAAGAACTTTGCAACTTCTTGTGCAGTTCCCATAGGAAGAGCGGTGGTCTCTGCGTAGCGCGTCATGTAGTCTGTCGCTACGACAATCCATGTGTTCGCGGGTCGGGATGTAGGGAACGGGCCCAGAAGGTCCATTCCGATCTGTTGGAAGGGCCTCGTTGGGACGGCGATCGGCTGCAGAAGTCCGGCGGGTCTCGTCGGTGGTGTTTTTCGTCGCTGGCAGTCACGGCAGCTCCGGACGTAGTGGGTGACATCGGATGTAAGGCGGGGCCAGAAGTATTTCGCCTTGATTTTTGTAATCGTGCGAGCTGTTCCGAGATGTCCGGAAGACGGGTCGTCGTGGCACGCTTCCAAAATTTCGTCAAGAAGGTCTGCGGGGATGACAAGTAGATAATTCGTTCTCGTTCCGGGGTTGAAATTCTTCTTCACTAGGATGGAGTTTTTGAGGCTGAATGCTGGTAAGTTGCGCTTGAACGCCCTAGGCACGGCGACGTTGCGTCCTTCGAGGTAGTCGATCATGGCGCGGAGGTCAGGGTCGGCACGCTGCTGGGCGGCTAGGTCGCTCTCTGTCACGACTCCGAAGAACGCGCTGTCTTCATCGGAGTCCTGTGGTGGTGGGTCGACGGGGGCGCGGGACAGGCAGTCGGCGTCGGAGTGTTTCCTGCCGGATTTGTAGAATATTGTAACGTCGAACTCTTGCAGGCGCAAGCTCCACCGCCCAAGACGGCCAGAGGGGTCCTTCAAATTGGCGAGCCAACACAGCGCATGATGGTCTGTCACAACCTTAAACGGTCTACCATAGACGTATGGGCGAAATTTTGAAATGGCCCATATGATAGCCAGGCACTCTTTCTCGGAGGCAGAGTAGTTTCTCTCCTCCTTCGACAGACCACGGCTTGCATAGGCGATTACCTTTTCGTAACCGCTTTTCTTTTGGACGAGGACGGCACCCAAACCGATATCAATGGCGTCCGTGTGCATTTCCGTTTCGGCGTTTTCGTCGAAATGAGCGAGCACGGGCGTGTTTTGCAGGCGTTGTTGCAGCTCGCAGAATGCCTTTTCTTGGTCGTTTTCCCAGCTTAAAGGGGTGCTTTCTTTCGTCAGGCGCGTGAGTGGCTCTGCAATGCGTGCGAAGTTTGCGACGAAGCGCCGGTAGTATGCGCACAGTCCGAGAAACCTTCGCACACCCTTCTTATCCTTCGGCCTTGGGAAGTTCGCAATGGCTGATGTTTTTGCCGGGTCAGGTAGGACTCCCGCGGCGTTCACGACGTGACCCAAGAACTTGAGTTCCTCGTACGCGAAACGGCACTTCTCAGGCTTCAGCATTAACCCCGACGTACGAAGGGCCTCGAGTACAGATTCCAACCTTGTGAGGTGTTCGTCGAAAGTCCGGGCGAATACGACAACGTCGTCGAGGTATACGAGGCAAGTGTGCCACTTCAGGCCTGCTAGCACAGTGTCCATGACTCTCTGAAACGTTGCGGGCGCCGTGCACAGCCCAAACGGCATCACGTTGAACTCGTATAGACCGTCCGGGGTTATAAATGCAGTCTTCTCTCGGTCTCTCTCGTCCACTTCAATTTGCCAGTAGCCGGTCTTCAGATCCATGGATGAGAAGTACTTGGCGTGGCAGAGGTGGTCGAGGGCGTCGTCGATTCGTGGCAGGGGGTACGCGTCCTTTTTGGTGATTTTGTTTAGTCTCCGATAGTCAACGCAGAATCTTAAAGTGCCATCTTTTTTCTTCACGAGTACAACCGGGGCGGCCCACGGACTTTTCGATGGCTGTATTATGTCGTCGCTGAGCATGTCATCTACTTGAGTCCGTATGGCTTCGCGCTCGTGTGAAGAAACGCGGTACGGTGACTGTCTGGTAGGTCGGGCTCCATCTTCGGTTATTATCCGGTGCTTCACGAAAGGTGTCTGACGTAACTTCGAGTTCGAGGAAAAACACTCGCTGTAGCGACGGAGCAACTCCAGTAATCTGTCCCGATTTTCTTGCGACAGCGCCGGGTTCACGTCGAAAGGATGCGGCAGCCTGGAAGCATCTGCGCGTGCGCGTTCAAAGGTGGCGACCGCGATCACTTGACTCGCTTCTTGCGTTTCTTCGAGCAACGCAATTGCAGCGCCCTTGTTTAGATGCTGGTACTCCTCGGCGAAATTGGTGACCAAAACGTGGGATCTGCGTTGCTTAAACCGCGCAATGCCTCTTGCGACAGACACACCGCGGTCTAGAAGCAACCTTTGGTCAGTCTCCATGATAGCGTCGACGTCAGGAGCAGCACCTTCACAATAGACAGCGATCATCAAGCTTGCGCGAGGTGGCAGGGTGACGTGATCGTCGGCGATCTTTACAGCAGCACGGTGTCCGATGTTCGGCTGCGGCGTCGTGGAGTGATCGGAAGAAAACGTTATCGACCTGGTCTGCAGATCAATTATTGCACCATTGTCCGTCAAAAAGTCCATTCCGAGAATTACGTCGCGGGAGCAGTTAGGCAAAATGACGAACTCCGAAGGGTACGTAGTGCCGTCTATGGTGACGCGCGATGTGCACATTTTACTTGGGGTCACGAGGTGGCCTCCTGCTGTGCGTATGTGCGGACCGTCCCATCTGGTCGTAACTTTCTTTAGCTTGGACGCGAATGACCCGCTCATGACCGAGTAGTCGGCTCCCGTGTCGATGAGGGCGACTCCGTCAAGGCCGTCGATGGACAACTGGACGTCGGATGCCGCTTTCCTCGAATTTCGGGTGCGTCGGGGCGTCGTATCGCGGCTTGCGCTTGTTGATGGTCGGGCACTATGCGTCGTCATCGTCGTCTTCTCAGCGGCAGGCTTCGTCATTTCGGGTACGCGTCGCGCAGCGTAGCTGTCGTCGTTTTCGGGGGTCTCGTCAGGGTGTCGTCGGGTCGTCGGGATGAGGGCATGTCGTGAATCACGGTCTTGCGTCGTTGGAGGGTTTTCATTTTCCCGCCGTTGTGCAACTTCACCTCCAGAAGTTGTTGCTTTTAGTTTCCCCCTCGTGGGCTGGGGGACCTTCCACGGGCGAAGTCAGCATTGCTGCGACGGTTGGGAGATTGGTACGGGTAGGGCGACGGCGAACGGTTCAAACGGGATGGTCCACGGCTGGTGTTCGACAGGTATTCTTCGATCTCAAATGGGCGCTGGCCGGCTCGCGGGCGGGGTGCGTCGACGGAGAACCCACGCAAACCCAGCCTCTTGTACGGGCAGCGGCGGTAGACGTGGTCAGCCTCTCCACAGTGGTAGCACAGCGGACGATTATCTGGCGTTCGCCACACCTCGGCCTTCCTGGGCGCCTGGTTTCGGGTTACAGGGGGTCGGGCGGGCGACATTGGGCGGCGGTACGGCGGGGCCTCTTGATAACGGGTTGGGACGGGTCGGGGTCGACGAGCAGCAGCGGAGTAGGTCATCGCTTGTGGTTCGCAAGATGCTTCCGATGGCGTGGAATTCCCCAGTGCTTGGTGAACCTCCTCGCGGACGACGTCAGTGAGGGAGGCGACTTGGGGCTGCGGCGTTGCTGGG